AAAACCCAAAGGCTTCCCATGTTATTCCAAAATGACCAACAGACCCCTCCAAAATTTCGCCCATTTCGGAATTTTGGGGGGTTTCGTGATTCTAAATTTTTTTTAAACAAATAATTATTTAAAACTGGTCGAAAATCCCATATTATAATAGCTGCTGAACTTTCTCAGCGCTCGCCGGCCCTTGCCAATACCTCTAGACGTTTTGTTAACGTCAAACACACTCCCATTTTCCCGTGATGACGGGAAAGTGTCCGATTTTCATTCACATGTATTACATTGATAATACAATTGACTTCCCAGCCATATCGAATACTTCTATTTTCCATCAGGGTAACGTTTCCCTCTTTACATTGGTCGCACTCTAAAAACAGTCGCGATTCCTGAATTGAGGATACTGATGTCGAACATCAATAGCAATGCAGTGTCGTCTTCTCCATAGTCTTCTGCTTTAGTAACTATTTTCCTTGCGGAAACATTGGTGATGTTGGCGTTGTCAACTTCCTCGTTGTCCTGCTCCGAGTCGCTATCAAACCATTCTTTCGGTTGGTTGAAATAGGAGCCCTTATCACTTTATTTTAAAAGACGTTTCTTTTCTTCGCTCATCGGTAGAGATCGCTTTCGTTTTGTCATAATTATGGTGCGCCGTATATAGTTTCGAATTGAATACTAGTAAATGAATGAATGCACTGTTTTTGTACCAAAGTACTAATACTACAGATTAACGCTAATTAGTCGTATTACCATGCTTAATATTATTACATGGTATGCAAAATGAAATGGACATGCTTGCTGGTATAAGATTATTTGTCAACATTACCATCACCTAAATCGGCTTTTATTGACTTTAAGTTGTCACTCACAACTAATTACACAAATGTCTCAAGTGGATGTTTACAAACACTTGGGAATTAGATACAGCTAGTTTATTTTCGCTTTTAAAAGTCGATTTTTACAGAAACCATGACTGATTTTCACTTTTCAACACATCAGGGCGATGTGTATTAGTTAGAAGAAGCTTCGTGAAAAATATCACAAAAACGGCCAGAAAATGACATATTTTTTAAAAACTTGTTAAAATACTCTGTTAACGGCTTTGGTTTCATGTTCTCAGTGACGTCACCAGTTTCTGTGCTTTTCACATTTCTGCCTCAGAGGCTGCCCAGAAGAAGTTGGTCCTTCGACCATATCGCTGTCAGTAAGAACAGAAGGTCTATATTCGTTGACAAGTTTCAAAAAAATCTTATCCCAATGTTGAAAGGTATGTGTGGGCAAGTGAATGAAGTTGATGGACTGCAAACTGTGTTTTAGTAAACTGACAAAATTGTCGAAACTGATAATATTGCAACACAGTCTCTAGAGGGAATGTGATTGCAAAAAAAAAAAATCATTTCCCTCAAATACAGCACTAAGCACTTTCATTTGGTGGTCAGTAAGCTCGTTCACAGAGAAAAAGTTAGCAACACATTCATTTCCTTATTCCACAATTTAATTTTATCAAGTAATGTGTCGTTCTGTTTGGGTAATGCAGTTGAGCCGATGTGACTCTTATAATCGTGCGAGGGTGTTGGTTACTGTTCTTTGATAGCCATCCTTCAAAACTGCTGTTCCATGCGCACGTTCCTCGCCAGGGAGCTATATAACTGTCGCCGGTAATATTTCCCGGTCAATTGCGTTATCACAATTGTGTTCTCCCGATTAGTAGAATCCGCCGTTTTATTTGGGTCATCTGTTTCTGACCAGTGACGTCGCGAGGCGCGCTACTACAGTCTATGATTGGGGATTTTTTATATGACGTTAGTTAAAGTAATACAAAGTAGGAAGGATAGGATAAAAATATATATAGTGACAATAAATTTAAATTAAATTCATGCCGTTCAATACATCAGATCGACCTTTTAATGGGTGTGTTTTTCCAATGTACATCACTATCATATGAATCTAGCTTTCAAGCTAAATTTCAACTTGGCAAGTCACCGTTTAAACTTTATTGCGAAAAATACATCAGTAAAATTATTTAAGCTTATCATTAAATTGACGCTGAATTAATCGAATTTAATTTAGACGTGTAGGTTGGCGGCACGTCAACAAACAAAGAAGTTGCGTAGTTCAAAACGTTCCCCACTGTCTTTAAAAGGCGGTGGTCGTCGCGCTGCGCATGTGCGTCATTTGTTTTGATAAACATTGATTTTCCCATAACTCAATGCGCTCTTCTAATGGAAATCACATATATGAGATTTGACCTGGGCGCGACTTGCACTGATTACCGCCGGTGACTCCTTCGATACCTTCGAATCTCCTGAAAAACCTAATTAAAGCTTGGTAACGTCTTATTTTGTACTCGTTGATCTGCGCAACAGTCAAGTTGCCATCTTTGTTTATATGAGACCCATATATCTCGCACATGCGTAGCGCGACGAATACCACCCTTTAATCGTGCTACTTTGGAATTTTGTTCACGTTTATTTTCAGTAAAATTCGTATTAAGCTCCCAGTTGTTTCCATTTAATTCAAGTTATGTTTTCAGAGGGTTTTTTTCCATATGTATTTGTTCTTGCATTATTTTTTTTTCGGTAGTATATCTTTTACATATTTTTTTCGACAATGTATTTGCTTATTTTTTATGAGATTTATTATATATTATATACACAACTTTTTGGCAGTGTTCAAACCTGGCCTTTGTCGTCTTATGTTGTATCGAAACCTTTAGTGTCCAAAAATGTACGTTCACAGAACTTTTTGGTGGGCATTAAATACCATAGGCACATTTTTATACTTACACCATATACCTTGTCTCATTCTAGCTCTTTAAATTGTTGGACCAAGGTCTTATATCGGGCACTACAGAACCCGTCCTTCTGCACCGAAATAAATATAAACCAGCGTTAATATAGAGTAATTATCGTCTGCCAAACTTGTTAAGTTTGACACTGAAAGGTCGTGAAACATTTTTTAAATACCGGGTGTCAAATACTAGCACTCTCGACGCGGTGCACTCATTGAGGGCGTTAACAAATAAGAGCAAGTTAAGGGGTCTGGTGACTGCACTGCAAAGGAGTGTAACGACGACGGTTGTTGACGCATAGTCGCCTAAATCGACAGCTTAATCTTGTGCTAAATTTTGGTTTTGCTTCCAAACACTGATTTGAAGGTAAGATAGCAAGTCAAGTTGTTACTAAGTGTTTCAAAGATAGTGACAACTACGTCCTTTACTGCGTCAATAGCCCAATTGTACATTCTTTGTGGTAACTGAACCGTTTCTTATTTCCCTGTTTAAGTTTTTCGCACACACCTACGATACATGCACGCACCTTGCAAATGATAGGTGTGTACCAATCACTCACTCTCCGGACATTCAAAATGTGTATCATCATTTCAAATTGTGTGAACAAAATACTATTGTTCTTTTTTGCCATTGGTTATGTGTTTTAAATTATCTAGTTTCTGTAAACATAGCCCTGGGTCATATCACTTCTGCTTGAATGTTTCCACTATTTTGAGGTCTGACATTACGAAACATCTCGAACACTGTACTCCACGATTGTGTTACGTGAACGATGTGTTTGTTGAATGTAAAACACAAAACGGTCGGAATTTCCTTATATGATAAATTCTTTTCACTTTTGGCGACATTGTCACCCTATTCTGTCTGGAGCGCACGATACTCAGCGTATTATTTCTGGGATTTATTTAGTAGAACGACTCAACTTGGCAGTTCAGGGCAAACTGGGGGATTCTCGCGCATCAATCACAAGGGATAAGTAACACACCAGTTATATATGTAGTTTAAACGTGTTTTAGTGATAACAAAATCATTAGAAAATAATTTCCCTTGGTAATAAAAAGAGTTAAAGTTTTGGGGACCAACTAGGTCGTAACGGGGCACCGAGACATTCGTGTCGTCTCGTTGTCCAGTATTTCTACTCACCATTCACATCTTTCTATCGTCCATGTCCATTTATATTTTGATTCGTACCTACATAACCTAGATTAGAATGCTCGCATGCGCAGTAGTGTAGCACATGGCGCGTTTGTGGCAATATTTTTAGAATGGTGACAACATGATTATATTATACAAGAGTATTTGGCAGCTTTATCTAACAAATATTTAATTTTAGGGGTTTTTACCATTACTTTAGCGTGCTTGTGGGATTTACGGAATGCCGAGTTGTACGCGCTGCATTATTTAAAACACTATTTTGCAATTAACAGTGAGTTCTAAAATAAGTTATCCTGCTGCTATTTCACATTGCTATTAATTCATGGATTTTGGTCACGCAATATTTCTAGCGACACGATATTCATTAAAGTTTTCGCATATAGTCCACACTTTAAAACCAATAAATAAAAGGTGCATTCTTGCATATATTAAAGATAAAAAAAGAGCTACCCGACAAATCAAATGTATACTAAATGACAGACATAGCGTTCATGGAGTGATCCAGTCTACACCCAAATCGTATGTGTCAGAAGGATGCATCAATCATACTATCGTGGATTAGAAAATAGTATAGTGTGGGCCTCTTTTTCGCCAGTTATAAATATCGATATGTGTTCATCTGTAAATATTGTTGTTATAAAATGTCATTATCTTAGACGAATTACATGTTGGGTATGATCCATTAATTGTTCTGTCTTCTTTATAATCAACACAACAGGGAGAATCAGATTTTTGACGCACACCGTCAAAAATACCGTATCATAAATTAATAGTTTTCGAAAACTGCACCGCAAAATTGTGGAACGTTATTAAGAGGAATGAATTTTGCGGGGATGTTACATTCATATACAATGCGGCCTGAGAGTAACTTTACATTTAAATTGCTTTCACTACTGCTCTATATCTAGATTGTGCAGAACAGTCTATTCGTAAGTCTCACATTAGTAATATGGATAAATACAATTGATATTATTGATAGACTGCGATAAAGTAAGCTAATGATTGTATATTCCCATCTCTTCATATATTTAGACTGTAAGCAGCAGCTTCACGTGTTAGCAAAATGCAGCAGCCTGTACAAATAGTCCAGCAGCCAGCACCAACGACACAACAGCGGGGAGTGAGGAAAGGATTTGCACATAAAACAATCAATTTGGTATCGTTCAGATTATTTCCGGTACATTGGCTATAATATGTTGCAGTGTGACTCTTGCTATGGAATGTAATTCAGGTGTGTCATATTCCGGTACTGGCATCTGGGCAGGAACTTTTGTAAGTAAGGTTGATTTGGTGGATGACTGTCCAATGCGTCCGCAACCATATTCTGTTTCGTCGCAATATTTGTTGTGTCGTTGTATTATCGATGTCTGTAATATACAAAATGAAACTTGGCACACAGCTACTATATAAAAAAAGACCAGGCCAAATTAGATTAGGTACACATCTTTGCATGTCAATTCGTTAATTTGCTTTTTTAATAGTTCTAGCATGTTTACTGTGTAGTTACACAATTACAACTTGGTACATGATTGCATATGCTCTTTGTTTATCTTTACAAGTTTACTCACACTGATGTATCTTTACGTGCCAGTTATTATATGCATACTATTTATTTTTAGTTTTCACGGTGTTTTGTTTAGTATGTGTTTTTGTTTGTTTTTAAATAGAGTAGCATACATTCTATAACGTGTAATTCATGTATTGGTATGCTTTGCTTTGTGATTTTATTATTCGGCATTCCATAAACTGATCACGATATACACTGTAAAATTTATAAGAACATAGCCAGGATATAATTACTTGCGAACTATATCTCTGGTTGTCACCAGTGAATCATTCACATGTTGATGTCTCCTTTAAATTTCTTCTTTCTTCTGTAGCCAAAAGAAAAATTCTCTACCGGTTACACCAGATTTTGTCTAACATTTTTGTAAAAGATTTGGCATTCAATGCGCTAATATCATATGCTTTTGGAATTTCATTTGCAGATGATAGTGAGTGGCAGTATTGGGTGTGGGAATGGTTACAAGAAGAGCAACTGCATGGTGAGTCATAATTAATATTGATAATTGCCAACAATTCTGTTTTCTTTTTATGTAAATTATATTCAAACTAGAACACAGACAGTGAATCATTCACGTGCGTTAGAAACGTTAAAAAGCGATTATTCTGTCATGTTACATTAGTAGTACAGATGTACATTATTTTATGGCAATCAATAACTTATTAATTTTACTTATGTATTCAAGACCGCTGTTAATGGGTTGGATCAGTCAGTTTATTGAAAACTTTAACTTGAATTTCCTGATCGCGTCTATTCCGGTTTCCATTTCACGTATATTTGTAGATCATTGCCAACATGGTCCTATTAATCATAACTGCTGTGTTCGCCGGAACAGTATTGTTACCAGTTTCTGCAGTAGGTATTGCTCGTGAACGGGTATGTGCACGTGATATTGGTCACTGGTTGCATTGTGATTATAATCGCTATGTAAGTATATCAATTACTCTCTATTTTACCAGATATATATTATTATTAACATTCACTCATTTTCCCATTAACATTTTGGTGGAACAATACTGCACGGTTTTACATATTTTTCTTTTCAATTCTGGATCAATGATACTTGATTTATCATTGGCAATCTGTTCAATAATTGGTTTTGAATTTTGTTTTGTCAAACTTGAATTTTGTGTCAATTTCGTATTGATGATTAATGGCGTTCGTCGATACTACTAAAGTAGGACCATGTCTCAATTCTCCATTTAGGACCCCACAAATAAATATAGGTTATCTACATAAATCTGTCTCTTGGTCTCATACAAAAATAACAAACTTTATAGTAGAACGTTACCAATTAAAGGATTTTTTTTTCTTTGCAGGCAACTTGTGTTGCATCACATAGTATTAATTTGGTTATATCGATTATAGTTGCCATTATTGCTATAATTGGCGCTAGTCTCTGTTGTCGTGCAGTTTGCTGTAGACATGGATCAGAAAGAGCTGTAAGTTATGAATAGTGTATTGTTAATGACATTTGTCCTGTGGGTAACCAAGAGATGTCCTGTGGGTAATCAAGATATGTCCTGTGGGTAGTCAAGAGATGTCCTGTGGGTAATCAAGATATGTCCTGTGGGTAATCAAGATATGTCCTGTGGGTAAGCATGAGATGTCCTGTGGGTAATCAAGATATGTCCTGTGGGTAATCAAGAGATGTCTTGTGGGTAAGCATGAGATGTCCTGTGGGTTATCAAGATATGTCCTGTGGGTAATCATGGGATGTCATGTGGGTAATCATGATATGTCATGTGGGTAATCATGAAATGTCATGTGGGTAATCGTGAAATGTCATGTGGGTAATCATGAGATTTCCTGTGGGTAATCATGAGATGTCCTGTGGGTAATCATGAAATGTCATGTGGGTAATCATGAGATGTCATGTGGGTAATCGTGGGATGTCATGAAGGTAATCAAGAAATGTCATGTGGGCAATCATGAGATGTCATGTGGGTAATCATGAGATGTCCTGTGGGTAATCATGAGATGTCCTGTGGGTAATTATGAATGTCCAACGAGTAACTGCTATATTATAATATTAGGAAATAATGTGTTGTAGATGTATTTGGTACAATCTGGTCAACCAGGTAATGTACCCATCCAGTATCCTATGGTAACTACGGCAACATCGCAAGGAGCATCAATGGTTTGTATGATGCCAGCTACAGAAATGCAATTAATGACGTCACAAGGTATTTATTTAAAACATGTTAATGTTGCCATTGTTATAGTGCAGGCAGCGATTACCAGCGTTAGTCTGTACAGAGCAATATCAGGAGCACTATTATAGATATAGACATTTAAACAGTCATATTGAAGACATTATACAGTAGATCTTATCAACCAACATATTCAATGACTGAAAATGTTTGTGTCCAAATAAAAAATACATAAATATATCTAATGCACTACTGCAGGTAGTAACATCCAGCTGTTGGTTTATGGGAGACACTGTACACTTGATGTGAGCAACATACCCAATAACCATATATGTTTATGTTACGTCATTCAAAAGTTATATCTGGAGCATTATTGCACATATTGTACATTCAATCAATGCTGTATTGAAAACATTGGGCACACGATCTGATCAACATAGTCAATAACCATATATGGTCATGTGACATAATTAAAAATGCATAACTATCTTGAACCCTATCATTGACTGGCCATCTAGAGGCGAAATGACGCCAGGCAAAGCAGACGTTTGTCGTCTACTTCACAGCCCGATTTATACTCGATATTGAGGGCATTTCGCAGCACATACAAGTTGTTTTTATCAACAGAATTTATTCATAGATCTCTGCGCCTTCAATTGAGAGTCAATCACACATTTTACTCACTCATCACCTATTGAATTCACGCTGTTGTAAATCGCGTCCATGAAATTATGAAACCTTTAAGGATTTGGTAATGTAGAAGGAGGGGGTAAATGTGGTAGCCAGTGGATAATGTGCATAGTTGTGCTGACTTGCAGATAGACATTGTTTAATTTACCATATATGTCTTGTTGTTTTTGTTTATACATAATGTAAAACAGTTGGTTGACCATGACGCTGATATTAAGAAGTATCACAATACATGGATAAGAATATGCTAAATAGATACATTAAGGCACTTATAATAAGGGAAGGCGGTTACTGTTAATTATATATCCGTTGACAACACTGCAAAGCTAATTTGTGGAATTTACTGAAACATGTTAAAAATATATAAAATCTACTTGATAAAAAATTCAAGTCAAGTATGAGAAGTTATATGTTACTAATAGTTGAAGCATATTATTTTAAGGTCAGTGTTCTGGAAACTATATTTCTCTAATTCCAGGTATACAACACCAGCCTGCGATGGTTGTTCCTGGTTATATCTATCAGCAACAACAACAGCCGACGTTGATGATGGCACAAGCACATGTTCAACCACAGCCAATGCCACAGCAACAAGCGTATGCTGTACAACAACTAGGACCACAAGGCCAACAAAATGCAGATGCTGACTTAGGCATGGAGGCATCATTTCGTCCACCATCCTACTCCAGCACTCCGAATGCAGTGGCCTAGAACGACATAATCTATATGTAGTGAATATTGGCTGACGGCCTACGTATTGTGGAACCACTTAATTTGATTGATGTTGTTTCCATAGAATATACAATGTAACCCAGAGTTCAATGCCTTATGTGTTTTTATTTATGTATCTTTATATACCGGTATGTATTCATTATATAACTTGTATGTCAGAGTTTCGACTCATGCATTGTTCACTACATGTCACTTCGAACTGCGATGTTTGGCGTTGGCAATAGATAATTTCCCGTTCTCTGTGAGATCTTGCGGGGAATTCGTCTTGCTTGGCCGATGCCGCTGACGTAGAGATACCAGATTCGAACCAAATGAATACATATTAGTTCATTACAGATAGTTCAGTTTTATTCACACAAGCTGTCAGCTGAGGTAACCCCTCGCTCTCCTGCTTCTCCCTCTTACAAAGGTTTCAAACTCACAATATTAAAAGTCAAATTCTAAGGCGTGGCGGAGTAAACATGCGATCAGCAAATCGCTGCAGTCATTGGCACGATCAAGTGATTACCACTGATGTGCCTTACGGTTAAAGCCTTGCAAAATTGCCACTGCTAAATACAATAAGTAAATAATCTATTAATTAAATTCCTGTAATATATGCTTATATTCTCCACCCTATAGTTGTTGATTCGAAACAATAGTATAACGGAGTGTGATGGGAATGTGCTATTATAACATACCCGTAGTTCACTAAATGTGTATAGCACATTGTTGCACATAGAATACCCCAAAATATTTTGTCGAATCTCCCTCATTGTTTTGACGTAGTACGAAGCTGTGACATTTCTTTGTTGTGTTTTTGTCTTCGATTTTATGCATAACGCGGGATATCGCAGAGAACGGGAAATGTTTTATTGCCGTGATTGAATGCCCTGTATCATTTCTGTGTTAATTTGCATGTACATTTTTAGAGTGCATATGACTAGTTACTATGCCGTTTTTTTCTGAAAGTGTGTTCTTTATAGTGCTAATATATATACTAATGTTGTACAATCAATGTATATTCTTTCAATTCCATAGCGAGGTGTCAATATCCATTATGATACAAATATCGATCTGTTTTGCAAATTATCAATGCCTTGTATTTACTATAACTTGTCACAGCTAAGTGCATAAGGAATATATTATATTTATATAACATAGAAGGCTGTCTGAGTGGACTGTTCTCACAGAATACATATTAATAGCTATCTGTAGTATTTGATATTACATGTATAACAATTGTTGTCAATTTTAATCAAAACATTAATAAATTATGTTCGTTTAACCATTGGAAAGATCAAGTATCTTTATCAAAATGTTTTTGAAAAACTGATATCAGGAGATGATTTGTTTTTATAACTACATACCCAGATAATTGATCAAAGTGAAACACTTGATGCATTAAAAACATGTTCAAATGAAAGAATGATACATAGACCACGAGCCATACAACCATCAGGTGATGTAATAAAATAAGAACATATGCTCTGTGCTGTGGTGGTAAAATAATAAAAAAAGTAAAATTCATATTTATTATTTGGGCGAAATAAAACAAGTCTCATAAAATAAACTTCAAATCTCCGGCAACCCTACCTACCAATATTTTGATGAAAATTGACAAGTTTAGTTCATGCATAGCCTATGAGCATTCCACCAACGTTATAATTTTCTTTGTACATACTTTGACTGTGTAGTGTACTCTACTTGTCATTTGCTTTGTTGATGACTGTCGATTTCTCTATACAACTGTTGTACTAAGATCGATGTGTATTGTTATTTTCGCTTTACTTGATTATAATACGCAATTAATAGTACCTAACGGTATAGCATACATACATGTAATATTTTACAACTTTAGTCTATAAACGATCTTCTAGCAAAAACATAATAATAAAAAATAAATTTCAAATCCCTGTTTTTGTATTGACCTAATAGCGAAAATACGGCAAAGACATGATCACATTGTTGTAAGCCGTACTTTTATATGAAACCGTAGTTTTTATTGCTTGTTTTATTATAATCCATAATTGCAGTATGATGACAAATGATGATACCCATAAATGTTTTTTGTTGTTGTCATTTTATGTTGGTTTGATTTGCATGAATTAATTTGCCTAACACAGCTTGTGTCATTAATGGGCGAGTTTCTAGGGTACTAGTACTATAGCACTGATGGAACATATACCACAGTGGGATGGCGGTTATTTTATATTTTACGATGTATGTGTGGCTACCATAAAACATAAATTATATTTGGCATGTACCCGAATTGAACAAGAGAAGTTTGTACTAAAAAGGGTTTTTCTGCATTATAATTTTGAAGTCATTCGCGTAAATTGCGTTCCATTTTATAATGTTTGTAGTAATCTGATTGGCTGACTGGGGTACATTTTTTATTATGAATCGCTATAATAATCGTTACTGAGCGCCAATTTGAGAGATAAGCTATTTTAAAGGCTTGTTTATTCTCTGTCTTCCTTTCTGGTGTATTTTGTTCAAACATGGTTCAGTTTTTGACAAATTATATTTTAGACTTATTACCCCGAACATACCTTGAATAGTTTGCTTCGAACTTTAAACATAAACAGTGCATCATGGTGTAATGGAATGTAATATCGTTCAATCAAAGATATCTGACTGCAAGCACTAAGATTGTGTATTTTGACGTGTCCAAAACTAGGTCTCGAGCATGTGTTGTCCGATTTTCCAGATTTGGTGTAAGGATTACCCATTACTCACTCCGATTTGTAAATTAGGCATAAGTTGGCCAACAGACGGTCATGTGATGATTTTGAAATGTCTATTCAAGAACATATCTAGTAATGATTTGAGCAGTTAACTTCAAACGTTGTACATAAACAGTAAATCATGGCATAGATAAGCAC